CGGATACACAGGGGTTTTTTACCATCTCTAAGTGTGGCAAATCAAACTTAAGTATGATTTTTTATTTTTCATCCATAAAGGCGTCTCTTGGCCCAATCCCAGGGCATAAACTTCCCCTGATGCTTGCTGTTTTATTCTTTGTGGAAGTTACTGATGGAACAAATTTCCACAACACTTGCCCAGGTGGAATCAGAGAAGGCAACTCAATTAAAAAATTAAGTTTGAAGTAGAATAATAATAAAAAAAAATCAAGATTAGATTTTACGTAAATTTGACTCAATTTAATTCGATATATATGAAAAATATATTTTTAATTATTTATTTAATTTCATATTTTTATATTTATATTTAAAAAATAATATTTTATATTTAACAAATAATATTTTATTAATTTTAGATTAATTTAAGCCAGATATAATTTATATAATATTAAGTCAAATTCATATATTATGAATATAAAATCGAGTCAAATTAAAGATAAACAAAAATTCATCGTATCTGTACCCGATCCAATTCGATCGATTGTCATTTTTAGGTGAAATTGAACTTTTGATTTTTAATGAACTAATAAATGACTTAATGTGTTCTCAAAGTAAAATGTCAAAGATTATTATAGTAGCAAGTTTTGCTACCCCTACCAAAATTTTTATGAGGAAGTATCTTCAAAAGATCCTATATAGATAAAATTTGATCATTCCAATTAAAAAAGTAATATATTATTAATAGATAAATAATTGTTGGTATTTTTTTGTTTTTAATTTCAAGTTAAATGATCATATAAAAAATATATAATCTTATCGGTGTGTTTTTTAATACATGTGATATCGAATTATATAATAAAACTATTATATAATATATTACTATTTTTATTAATTTTTAATTATTTAATAATAAATTATTATTTGAAATAAAATAATTTATTTTTTAATAATTTATTAATTTTATAAGCATTAAATAATTTAAAATTTTTATTACATATAATTTCTAATTTAATATTCTCAATAGTGATTTCTTTTTTTATTATAATTCATCTCATTTTTATCATTAATTTTAATATTATCATTACAGTAACTAATTTCACGTAATTTTTAATTTCATCAAAATTAATCTTACTGTTTATATAAATAAATCCTTCAATTATTGTAATTTTTAAAGATTTCTTTTGGACCAAAGAAGTTAAGGTGCATATGATTTGAATGCTACCAGTGAGCTTTGGGCTCAAAATGTTTGGACATTGCCCCTCTTTTTCGCTTCTCAACTACCACAAATTTTTTTTTCTTGTGGGGTGATTTCTTTTGCTTGACACGCAAATGCTTTGAACTTAAAGCTTGTCTTTGGTCCCCCTTTGCCATATGAACTGTGATTTCTCACAAAAAGTCACAAAAACCTTTTGTAGTTTTGCACCTATGCTTATTTTATTTTATTTATTTATTTCTCAGAGTGAAAGCTCCCTTACTTTGGCCATGGAAACAACTGAAAACCTTGGCACTTCTCACTTTCTTTTCCCCAAGACAGGGCCTGAGGGGGTGTGGCTTCAAAATCTGATCCAAATCTTTACCTCTCTAAGGTCACTTTCACATTTTCATGGCTGATGAAACAATGGTCTCTTTCATATTTTCATGGCTGTTTCTTATTTTCATGGCTGATAAAACAATGGTCTGTTTAAGGGTACATTGGCAACTGTCACCATTGATTATGAATATGATGGCAACTTAGCTTTTACTAAAAAAAAAAAAAAAGCTATAATTTGTCCAATTAGTGGCAACTCCTAAATTTCTTTGAATTATTGGAAAAAAGTTTACATATATATATTTGTTAGTTTATAATAAAAATATAATCGATCGAGTTATGAATCGATATAATATTAAATTTGAGTTTAAATTCGATTTTAAATTTGAAGTTTAAAATTTCCCATGAACTAGATTAAATTTAATTTTTATAATTCGAGTTCAATTCAAAATAATAATTAAATTACTCGAGCTCGCTCGATTAACGTATGAAAATAAATTTAATTTTTATATATGATAAAAGTTTAATTATATATGCTCAAAATTTAAGATATTTTATTAATTAAAATAAATAAAATATATAAAAATATATAAAAAATTAAACTTACGAATTATTCGAATTAAATATAAAATTATCAAATTTAACTCGATTAATAAATTAAATTACTCGAATTCAACTTAATAATAATCTAATTGAATTCAATTTTTATTTAGGTTTAACCTAAATAATTTGTGAATATATTGTATTATTTATACCCTTTGATTGTCTGAGCTAGGGATGTAAATAATACATCAGTACTCGTAAGTTACTCGGATTCGATTCAAAAAAAACTCAAATTCGGTTCGATTATTATCGAGTCGAACTTGAGCTCGAGTAGCTCGACTTATCGATTGAGTTGAATTTGAGTATTCTTATATCCGACTCGAGTAGCTCGCGAGTCTAATCGAGCTTTTATATTTAAATATATTTTTATTATTTTAATCAATAAAATATTTCGAGTCCGAGTTCGAGTATGAATAATCGAACTCTTGTCGAGTATACGAATCGAGCTTATTTTTACATATTAATCGAGCTTAATCGAACGAGCTCGAGTAGCTCGAATTCGATCACGAATCGAGCTCGAACTTGAAAAATAAAACTCAATCGAACTCGAATCGAGTATCGAACCTCGAATTATGAGTCGAACTCGAGCTCGAGCTTCTTACTATTCAACTTGATTCTTACACCCTAGTCTAAGCTAAGCTGTACGTAATTATGATTATAGAAAGACAGGAGAAGGATGCCCCAAAATTTAAGTCCTCTTGACAAGTTGGGCCCACTTATGGAGCTTCTCAATGAGGTCCTGACCCATCCAAGGCCATAAATTCATATCTTCCCCTTTCTTTTTTCATCTTCTTTCTTTTTGTTTTATTTGTTTTTTATGATGCATGTTGACAGAGGTTTGAACCAAGTTAACATTACACTCAATGGGGCATTCTGAACATGAACCAAAAAAAAAAAAAAAAGGAGATATAATTTGATGGTTCAATTATCAAGTTTTTAGGTAAATAATCACGTGATTGATTGATAAAGTATTAAATTTTTTATTTTAATAATCAAATTTAAATCTTAATAGTTTTAAATATAAAAAAAAATTAAAAATTTGAAAACACGATAATTAAATTTGGATTAAACAATAATAAAATCCAACTCATAATAAAAATGAAAAATAATATTAATACTCATTTAAGTCATCATTAATAAATTGTTTTAAACATTCGATTATAAATTATGATCTTGAAAATATTTATGAGAATAGATTAATAAATATTGTGCGATTTTAAAATTATAATTACACATAGAAATTCAACTACGGAAGAAAAAAATTATTGAAAATTAATTAAATTAATAAAAATTAAATACTTCATTTATAAAATTTAAACTTTATTTTTATTGTCAATATTTCTCATTAAAACCTATGATATGCTCTGCCTTTGGAAGAGAGATGAAAAGTGGAAACCAAGGTGATAATAAAGCCATAAACAGAACCCCAATATTGAATAAAAACTTTTCTTGCCAAGAGCCATGGGACAGAACCAGGCAAGTTGCCAGTAACCTGTCCTTTTGCATTGGACCTTATAAAGCTACTCATTCCTACCACAAATTAAATCTTATAATCTAAAATATGATATAATTACATTATAAGAATACAATATAAAAATAAGGTATAAAAGTAATATGATTTAAAATTATAATAATAATTATATATAAATTAAACATAATTTTTTATATAAAATATAATATAAATATATAAATTTTAATATTTTATACTATACGAATATACGAATTTTTAAATCTATAAAAAACTATTGCAGTCTCCTTAAGGCAAATTAGAGGGTTTGATATAGTTTAGAGTTTTTTTTTTTTTTTTTTTCAATTTCAGATATGAACATTAAACTTGGTCAGGCTTTCATTATGATGATTGGATGCTCTGTAATCACATTAGTAGGATGCTGGGGTGACAAAACCTGACTCATATCATTTAAATCAATTTTGTTGGTTAAATGGGTGAGGAAATTAATGAAATGAAGACATCTCACATGCAAATTGTTTGTCCCAATTTGGAAAATTATTCAGTCATTTTCATTCATATATTTCTTTTGGTTCTGGTGTACAATTTGTGCCCACATATTTTTTTTGGACAAATTGTGTCCACATTTATTTTTTTTTTTTTTGAGGCAAAGCAAATGCACCATTTTTCTATCAAGTTTATTCAATGATTTACTAATTTAATAAGAAGAGCTTCCATGGCTTTTGTTTGTCAATGGCTAACCTTATGCATTGTTCACTATAAAGAGAGAGAGAGAGAGAGAGAGAGAGAGAGAGAGAGAGAGAGAGAGAGAATTTCCAAAAGGATACCAAAGTGTTTCAAAACCAATAGTATTTTCCTAAACCCTAACAAATCTTTTGGCATTAAGTAATTCTCAATAATAATATACTGATTGACAAACGAAACCGTAATTTGAAAATAAACAAAAAGAATTGCAAATGTTATAGGATCTAAACCCAAACATATACAATGATACTTATTAAAAATAACTATATGATCTAATTGAATTAAGCTTCGAATTCTGAAAAACAATCTTTGAAACAAAAATAAATGACTTAAACAAAAAATTCTGAATTAGAATATACTTGAAGATCAACTTGTAAATGTGTTGATTAAAAGTCTTCGCAGTGCAACATTTTAAAAAATTATTTTCAAACTGAAAATAAAAACACCTATTCATCAACTTGAAAGAGAGTGTAAGAAAACACTTATTTACAGTTGATTGTAATCTTATAATCTGTATATTTATATTATATCTCTAGAATTAAATATTTATATCTTTAAAATTAAAAAAAATTTAATTTCTTAATTAACCCCTAATTAGTTGTATATAAACTTAAAATTCTTGTATAATTCAAAATAAATAATTTTTCAATATACATTCAATTTTCACATATGCTCTTCCTAAACCTGCTTGAATTAAAGGCAGTTCAATAGTACTTCGTGATGGAACACCAAAAGGGCATTTGTCCTGGATAATAAATCTCACGTCTCATTTGCCAGAGTGAACTGATTCATATCGGATATGTACAGATGACTATAAAGCACATGCTCCCAACCAAAACCACATCCTAGAAGTTGCAATTCAATTTGCCTAAGGAGCAGCTTCAAATCTTCCTGCAAACCTACCAATAAAAAAAAATCTAAAACAGTGATTAATTGTAATTTTGTATTGGAAACAATGGTTAAATAGAAAGGAGGATGTTGCATGGGATAGCAACTGCAAGTCTGCAAAGCGTCATTTTCTTTTACCCAGTGAAGGTTCTGATGGATCTCGCAACCGGCAACAAATAGAAAATGTATTATCTTTTTCTGTTTTAAAGATGTGAAGCTGATTACTTGAAACATCAACCAAGTCACTAACTTCAGGAACGGATTCACTTGGAGCTTTGCATTCTTGTGGATTTTCAACTTGCACTTCATATGCAGAACTCATATTCTCCCCGCATATATCATTAGTTTTGTCATAAACACTTGACAAGCTGGATGCCTGTCTTTCCAAATGAAATTTCAATGGATGCAGAACTCCAACTGGAGCTATGGAATCAGAAGAGTGCAGCACAACTTGGAATTCATCAATAATGATTCTAGCATTCTAAAAAATTCTAAATGTTAATACTTTTGACTTATGATGAATAAACAATAAGTAAAGAATTTGTTAAATACATTGGGCTGCAAAGCCACCTTTTTTCAGAACATTGTAATCAGTTTATATCCTGGGAAAGAAACAAAAGAAGCCACTAAAAGAAACAAAGGGAGTTAAATATTTTCGCCAGTAGACTAGTCAACAGATAATCTTACATGGAAGAGTGGGCGGTCAAGAGTCAAAGTTTCATACTTCCCTCCCTCACCACATACGTTGATTCCATACAAGCTGCCAAAAGGGAGTTAAAAAAGAAAAATCTAATTTTGCAGCCACACTTGAAATATAAAATGGTATATCATGCATCTGAGAGAGGGAGAGAAAGTTAAAAGAAAAGCATTGACATACTCCTTCAATTTATGCAGATAAGTTTTCAAAAATGCTATTTCTTTGCCCAAATGCTTTGCAAGGGTCCAACCCCATGGCTGCAACCTATGACATAATTTTCAAAGAACAGACAATACTTCAATTAAAATAGATATGATGAAGCATCTCATAAAAGAAATAACAAGAAAATAAATCTATATAGAACATGCAGAAAGAGATCACATGGTTTCTAAACAAATACAGTAAAATGATAAAAAAAAAAAGAATTAATTAAAGATACTACATACATTGACTGTGATAGCCACAATGCCATTTGTTATCAGTATCGGGCAAAAAAGAAAATAATATGTGAAACTATCTAAATTCTGACTAACTATTATTCATGTTAACATAATAAGAACTACCATTTCCTGGAGAAGCAATGATGATCTTTTTTCCACAAATATGCCAGAGAAACAAGCTCTATCTTGAACAGACACTTTCCACACGTAGCCCTTGATAATCTGATGCAATTGCACCAGAAGATACTGCTATGACAGAAGGCATCTGTTTCTTCATTTAACAAAACAAACATATCTTCAACCTCATCACCCCGGTGTCAATTTGGTAGCCAAGTTTCTGATGACTACAATCTGAAATGAGAGAATGTGCAAATTGTACATTTGCCAAGTTAAAGGCAGATGCTCAGCTGAAAGTTAACTAATCTGTGAAAAGAATTATCTGGAACTAATTTTTACCAAATATAAAGAAAATTTCATGATTTGCCCTGCTTACAAAATGGATTTAAGAAAATCAATTTCCTATGTGGTTTCCCTGAATGTTATGCAGTGAAAGAGAAATTTATGAATTGTGCAATTAAATGATATGTGCAAACGAAAGAGATACATAGAGAAGCCTGCAAAGTTCTCAATAAGAATGCTTAAAATTTTGAAATCAGCTAAAACAACTTGAAGGCAAATACCATAACCAGAAATCTGGAAAAAGTCAAAGTACAGAACAAGTTAATTATCATGAAATGACAAACAAAGTATAAAGGGAGGACTATAAGTTTCCTGAAAAAAGATAAATGGTGTTTTACCACAAAATTCTCATTTAAAGGGCTTGCCTTGTGGATCCTTGTATTCGCCTTTGGATCAATGGAACTCCCATGCATTCTGCATAACTTACAATTATTTGGTGTCCTACCTGCACAAAGAAGGCATACAATTCATATTTTATAACCTCTTAGTTTCTAAAACACTTAAAACAAAATCTTTTTACTTCAACAATTAAAAAAGGAATACCATTTTCATACAAACGTGTGTGTATATCTATCTATCTATCTATCTATAATGTATGTATATATATATATATATATATATATATATATATATATATATATGAAACTATGGCATCTTATCATTTGAATTTTAAATGGGAATTAAAAGGAAAAAAGATCCATTTTTAAAATGGCATAAGAGGCATACAGTGTGTGTATAACACAAAAAAATTGGAATTCAGCAGAGACTTTAGGTGTTGATAACACGTAAGCAGAGACTTACAG